TGGACGGACAGATGGACGGACGGATGGATGAAAGGATGCATGTATAGAATATATAGAATATATATGTATAGCTATAGGATGTATAGATATATAGATGGATAGAAGAAAGGAGAGATGGATGGATGGAGAGAGCAAAGGAGGGAGGGAGGAAGAAAGGAGGAGAGAGAGAGAAAAACAGACAGTCAGAGACAGAGAGAGGGGGAGGAGAGAAAACAGCTGCAGCATTTTCTTACTGTGATATTTTTATCACATAAACACTCACCTAACTCGCAGACTTGTGATTCAGCATTCATGACAGACTGGAGGAGACTGAAAAAAGAACAGAAAAGATGAGAGTTTATCCTATAAACCTACACTACATCACGCAGCTCTTAATCAAAACTGGCCATTATAAGTGTTGCCTTGTCGTTTTTCTCGTGTCATTTCTTCTCTCGCTCTTTCCACTTCACGAATTTCTGCGTAAACTGAAATCAAGTGACGACTTCAGACCATCTCCACCGTGAGAGAAATCTCCCCCCCCCACCCCGTGACAGGAACGACAATAGGAACAAGTGTTTAGTGGACATCTTGTCATACGGAGTTTGTAGTAACGTCAGAAGCTTTTCCCAAGATTACACCCGTGTCCGTATAACAGTAGTAGACCGTAGCAAACAAAATGGCAAGGGGTTTTGCTAATAAGTGAATTATCGAAACTGCAAAATGTGAAACGCAATGTCCTAGACTTGCTGTATATACCGTATTTCGCAGCTTACAAGACGCCCCTGCTGCATTAGACACACCCCAAAAGGTAATAATCAGGAAAAGGTATTACTGCATTTGGAGACATTTTCCAAGAAAAAAACATTTCATAAGCCGTGAAATACAGTGCACATATAAATAACGCATGGGTGACTAAGACTAACGTACGTATCAGTGCAGAAGTTGACTAGAAGATGCTCTACGTAAGATAAAATGGAATGGCGGATAATCGAGACCCTACTGTACTATATTCTACATATTCGCAGTGGTGATTAACACATCTCCTAAAGAATTATAAATAACTAATAATACATACGAAATTATACTAAAATTACTACTACTACTAACTATAATACTACTACTACTATACTACTACTATTATAGCGCATTGTACGTACTTGTCGGTGCGGGAGAACGGCTTGTACGACTTGCAGGACATCGTGGCGCGGTCGTAGCCGCAGTAGGGGTCCTGCACACAGTCGGCACAGAGTGAGTAGCGCTCGCACTGATGCACCGACATCTGATAGACGCCGTTATCCGTGCTCATGTAGAGGAACGCGTTCTGCAACGAAGAACGTCATTAACGAACGGTGGACGGTGGGTAACGAGGGAGGAGGCGATGCTGTGTGGGGGAGGCAGGGTTGTGTGGAGGAGGGAGGGCTGTGTGGAGGGGGGGGGGCTGTGTGGAGGG